CCTTTCCAGTTGCTTCCGTAGCCTCGGCTCAACCTGTCATTAATTCCTGTCTGGATTATACGAACACTGCCTCACTCAAATCTCTTCCTACCCTCAACCTGTCCTCCGCAGGGTTCTTTTTCTAAAGCATTCCTCTGAATCTGTTCTTTCCATCCATGATGTTCCAATGACTTCAAAATCTATTCCAAACCCGTAAACCCAGTTCAAAGGCCTTAATAATTCAGTCCCTCCTACCTCTCAAGTATGGTTGAGCACTCTCTCAACCATAGTTTCCACCAGTTCTCCACACAGCTTGGCTTCCAGAGTTTTGCTCAAGCCTTGCCTTATATAGGCCTCACTCCTCAGCAGCTATGTAGCAGAGTGCTGCCATTTCTACAATGCCTAACTGCAAAGGAAATGATTTATCTTCTCCAAGAAGCCTTCCGTGAAATTCCTCTCTTTCCCCCCGCCCTACAGGATACTTCCGTGGACACTTCTTCGGTCCCTCTATTATAGTACTAATCTATCTACGATGTATTCTTCCTGGATTAGGCGGAGAGAGAAATTATTCATCTTTATATCTCCCATCAACAGGAAGGATTCAATAAATGTTTGCTGGGTATAATCACAAACACATCCGTAGTACATGAATGAAATCCGAATTTTCCTTAGTTACTAGAGACAGTCTCTGCTTTATTCACTTATGTCTCTAGTCCCTCACGTAGTGGATACTTGAAGGGAAATAGATGTTTCACCTATGGTTGTGTTGCTAGGATTTAGGATTCCCATCCCCTGAGCTTGGCATGCTGAAGACAGCCTTCTTGTACCCCAACCAGGCTGAACCTTCCACACTTCTGAGGTCTTCAAGCCCCCCTGCCAGTTGCAGGGGCTTATTAGTATCTTGGGTTCTTGGAGATAGTGTGCACAGAAGAGAGTTTGGATGGATTGAACAAAGACACCATCAGGCATAACATCTCCTGAGTGGTTACCAAGAGAACAAATAACTACCGCCCTCTGCCAACAAAGAGAGTAAGTTCTCAATGGAAGTGTCCTGTGGTGGTCAGTCAAATGTCAGTGGATGGTCTGCAGGTGTTGGTGAAGCTCTGTTTGGTCTCTGCTGCTGAACCCAGATGGTTCTCAACCTGAGCCTGGGTCGTCTAATGATACTGACTCTTTGGTTCCTCTAAGTCCAGATACTCCCCTTGGCCCAACTCCCCAGCCAGGGAAATATAGTCCCCTCCAGGTAACTCATCTGTAAAATGAAAGTACCGTTACTTATCTCAATCTTATTGTGTAGTTGTTAAAAGCTACACACGTAAAGGACGTGAAGCTTTTGAGCTCACTCACATTCATTGTTTTTATTATCTCCTTCTGGTTTATTACCTAGGCCAAACTCAGACTCTGTCTCCTCCAGAGTGTGTATGGTGGACAGACTCTAGGATGACCCCTCATGGTCCCCCTCCTGGGGTTCATGACCTTGTGTAATCTCTTTCCTTTGAATGTGGCAGGATCTGTGACATTCTTCTAATCAATAGAATATGGCAAAGGTGAGGAGATGTCACTTCCTTGACTGTATTATGTTATGTTTAGTTTTTAGCTAAATTTGAAACAATAGAGAAACATGATTTTGACACATTCAGGATATTTAACGAGCCAAGTTTTTTAAACTTGTTACAGCGAGTTTAAAAAGATAGTGATTGTCATACGACCCAGCAATCCCACTACTGGGCATATACCCTGAGAAAACCATAATTCAAAAAGAGTCATGTACCACAATGTTCATTGCAGCTCTATTTACAATAGCCAGGACATGGAAACAACCTAAATGTCCATCAACAGATGAATGGATAAAGAAGGTGTGGCACATATATACAATGGAATATTACTCAGCCATAAAAGGAAATGAAATTGAGTCATTTGTAGTGAGGTGGATGGACCTAGAGTCTGTCATACAGAGTGAAGTAAGTCAGAAAGAGAAAAACAAATACCATATGCTAACACATATATATGGAATCTAAAAAACAACAACAACAAGATGGTCATGAAGAACCCAGGGGCAAGATGGGAATAAAGATGCAGACCTACTAGAGAATAGACTTGAGGATATGGGGAGGGGGAAGGGTAAGCTAACCTGCCGACATTTTGATCTTGGACTTCCATTCTCCAGAACCGTGAGAAAATAAATTTCCACTGCTTAAGCCCTACAGTCTGTGATATTTTGTTATGGCAGCCCTAGCAAACTATGTACTGTACGTATACTACATATAGTAGAGTATTGTTTTGTGAAATTTTAGTTTCAGTTGTATGTATGTGCACTGGGTCTCAATGCAAGATGCATTTCTTATTATGGGTTGTAGGTCAAAATGTTTGAAAAACATTGAGCTGGAAGAAATGAAGGATTTTGCCTCCTAGTTCTGATATAAGCCAATTGAACTAAAACCGTATACTAGGCAAACCTGGAGAAACCTTAGCTCCACTTTTCCTGGGTAGGGCGCTAAGGAGAAGAAATGGGTTCCTTACGAAAATGACTCTAGAACAGTGTTCTGGAGTGGAGTCTGTGGACAGAATTTACAGGGGTGTGAACTTGGATAGGAAGAAGGTACATGTTTATTTTCACTAATGTCTACCTGAAAATTACCATTTCCTTCCACTGTAAATAGAAGTAACAGATTTTGGTAATATTCGCAGTACTTGTAACTTTGTCACCAATTAAAATCACGTATATTTTCATATCACATTACACAAACTCTATCTCAAAACGCAAATTGCAACCATTCCTATATTGAAAGTATATTAGTTTGTTATTTAATATATTAATAAAGGAGCACATGTATTACGATGCACAATTTTTTTTTTTTTTTTTTGCATTACACGGGCCTCTCACTGTTGTGGCCTCTCCTGCTGCGGAGCACAGGCTCCGGACGCGCAGGTTCAGCGGCCATGGCTCACGGGCCCAGCCGCTCCGCGGCATGTGGGATCTTCCCGGATTGGGGCGCGAACCCGCGTCCCGTGCATCGGCAGGCGTACTCTCAACCACTGCGCCACCAGGGAAGCCCACAAATTTGTTTTTTAAATATATTTTGATAATAACCTTGTTAGTATATAATTTCTTTCCCCAGGATCCCTAGGTATTTATGCATTTAAGAACATTTTTCTAAGAAGGATCCATAGGCTTCACAAGACTGTCAAAGGGGGTCTGTGACAGATAACGGGTTAAGAAAATCTCTACAGGTATATTTTTATAGACTCAGGTCCTGCCTCTGTTACATTTCATCTGAGTCCTTTCTTATCTGTTTCTTTCCACTTCCACTGTTTTGGTTATGACCAAGACTCTCCTAATGACCAGTTTCTTTTAACTGAGGACTTCTTTGGTTCTAACTTTGACTTGACTGACATCTTCCCAAAGGCTGCCTCTGTGTTTACACCTCTGCTCTTGCAGTGCAGCCCAAGGACAGTGGCCCTACCCTGACCCTCGGCCCAGGAAGCTGACCCACAGGGTTACAACTTCTGGACTGCTGAGGACCAGTGGGAAGGTGTCTTGGCCACCCAAGGCCACCCAAGGAGCTTGTGGCCATTAGAAATCCAGCTAATAACATCAGCAGCACAGAATGGGAAACCTTCAGTCCCAGGCCCTGTGGACCTGTTCCTGCCTCCTGAGGGTGTTTGACTTACTTTTGTGACCTCCCTCACTGCTTCATTTCTTATTTAGACTTCCAGCCCATGACCTGAATTTGTAGCCCCATACAAGGCCCTCCAGACCCAAGAGGTCCACATTTCCATTGCCCACCATCAGTGGCCATATGGAGCACGTCCATTCCCCACAGCGTGGAGTCTGCCAATTCACAGTAATTGGGATCTTCACTCCCTTTGTCTTCCACAAGCACACAGCACTCCCATTTTGGTTCACCCACCTGACCAACACTGGGGGGAATTCCACACTCCCACAAATAAAAGAATGATACCTTCCAGGGGTGGGCAAGGACCATACTAAATCTCCTTCCCTCCACCCCCTTTATGGGAGAGATCATCCACCTTGTGCTGCGGGGCCCTACTTGGCCATCATGTCAGTAGCACCCTCTGACCTCTAGAGGGAGCCCCGTGAATGACGAAGAGGAGCAGCTGTGAGCCTTCAGGGAATGGGGGGCTGGAACCTTGAATCACCAGCTGTCCTGGGGAATGGGGCTCATGTCTGGGCCACATATCCTAAGTTCACTGATGACCTTTAGTGTCCTTTGGGCAGGAATGCCCTACTTAATTTACTTTGTCTGTTCTGGCTCCCCACCCATCTCTGCCCACTGCCAACATTTATCTATTTGGGGGTCACGATTCTTTTTTTTTTTAAATCACTTTCATTTTTATTTATAATCGGAAAACAATTAGAAGTTAAAGGGGGAAGGTATCTACAAACAACAAGTGCTGGAGAGGGTGTGGAGAAAAGGGAACACTCCTACACTGTCAGTGGGAATGTAAATTGATACAGCCACTATGGAGAACACTATGGAGGTTCCTTAAAAAACTAAAAATAGAACTACCATATGAATCAGCAATCCCACTCCTGGGCATATATTCCAATAAAAACATGGTTTGAAAGGATACACGCACCCCAATGTTCATAGCAGCACTATATACAATAGCTAAGACACGTAAGCAACCTAAACGTCCATCGACAGAGGAACGGATAAAGAAGACGTACATATACACAATGGAATATTACTCAACCATTAAAAAGAATGAAATAATGCCACTTGCAGCAAGATGGGTGGACCTGGAGATTATCATACTGAGTAAAGTAAGTCAGACAAAGACAAATATCATATGATATTGCTTATATGTGGAATCTTAAAAAAAATGATACAGATGAACTTATTGACAAAACAGAAACAGACTTACAGACTTAGAGAATGAACTTATGGTTACTGGGGGTGGGGGGAGGGATAGATTGGGAGTTTGGGACTGACATGTACACACTGCTATATTTAAAATAGATAGCGGCCGGGCGCGGCCCGGCGCTTCACTCGCGCTGCAGACCCCGCCTTGAGTGCGCAGCTCTCCGGCCCGCGTGAACGCTTCCCCCAGACACCACCACCCTTTGGAATGGCCAGCAGGGGACCTGCCTACGGCCTGAGCCGGGAGGTGCAGCAGAAGATTGAGAAACAATACGATGCAGACCTGGAGCAGATCCTGATCCAATGGACCACCGCCCAGTGCCGCAAGGATGTGGGCCGGCCCCAGCCTGGGCGCGAGAACTTCCAGAACTGACTGAAGGATGGCACGGTGCTGTGTGAGCTCATTAATGGGCTGTACCCCGAGGGGCAGGCCCCAGTGAGGAAGACCCAGTCCTCCGCCATGGCCTTCAAGCAGATGGAGCAGATCTCCCAGTTCCTGCAAGCAGCCGAGCGCTACGGCATCAACACCACTAACATCTTCCAGACTGTGGACCTCTGGGAAGGAAAGAACATGGCCTGTGTGCAGCGGACACTGCTGAACCTGGGTGGGCTGGCGGTAGCCCAGAGCAATGGGCTCTTCTCTGGAGATCCCAACTGGTTTCCCAAGAAATCCAAGGAGAACCCTCGGAACTTCTCAGACGACCAGCTGCAGGAGGGCAAGAATGTGATTGGGTTACAGATGGGGACCAACCGCGGGGCATCTCAGGCAGGCATAACCGGCTACGGGATGCCACGCCAGATCCTCTGATCCCACCCACAGCCCTGCCCCCGCCTGCCATGAATGGTTAATATATATATATGTGTGTGTATATATATATATTTTAGCAGTGACATTCCCTGAGAGCCCCTGGAGCTCTCACACTCCCCTCTGCCAGGGTTGGGGCCTGGCCTGTCTCCTCTGAGGGTGCCTGACAGTGGCCTCCCCACTGTGCTTACTAATACATTCCCTTCTCCAAATCCACCAAAATTGGACCAACTGGCCTCTTTTCCCCAGGACCAAAATTAGGGGGGCATCACCCCCTCTCCCCACCATACCTCTTCTCTTTCTCTCTGGCCTCTCTTCCCCTGAGCCCTGTGCCCTAATCCATTCGTTGGCTGGGAGTCAGGGATGCTGCCTAACGGCCTTCTCCCCACAAGTACGCCTCGCCTACAGCTGTGGCTGCAGGGACTTAATTTATAGGGAGGGGTCTGTGGCGGCTGCTCCCCCAGCCCCAACTGGACTGCACTCACCACGCTTCTGAGGCAGCCTGCCCTGGCAGAGGCCTTCAGGCCTCTCATTTTACATTCCCCTCTCTGTGGCTAAGGGGTGGGGGTGAGGGGACCAGGGAGGGAAGGCTGCCCACCATGGGCTGGGGCTTGAAGAATCTGAGTTTGATGATTTAAATAAAGAATCTGTCTTTTTTTTTTAACAAAAATTAAATTAAAAAATAAAATAAAATAGATAACCAACAAGGACCTATTGTAAAATAAATAAATAAATCATAAAAAAGGAAGAAAATAAAATAAGGTATCATGTTTTACAACAACATTTTAAAATCAAATATGATTAGATGGCAAGATTTATACTCCAAATATTATAATAGGACGTTGAGAGAAATTAAGGAAGGCTTAAAGGAGGTACATGCCATCTCCATGGACTGGAAGACTCAACTTGAAAACCTCTTATTCTCTCCAAAGTGATAGAGACTCACTACCATCCTGGTCAAAATCCCAGCAGGTTTTTATCCCCGCTGTGTGTGTGACTGTTATAACAAGCTTGTTATAACAAGCTGATTCTAAAAATTTTTTTTGTTGTGGTAAAATATATATAACAAAATTTACCATTTTAACTGTTTTAAAGTATACAATTCAGTGGCATTAAGTACACTCGCAATGGTGTTTGGATAGATTCTTGACTGCTCAGGCTAGCCTGACCTCACCATCAGGACCCAAGCACTCCCTTAAAGGAGACTCTGGATTTTAGCAAAGGGGTGCAGTGGGTGTATCTAGAAAGCAACCAGTCTGGGACAAATGTATCTATCTAATCTCATCCAGGCTTCTGTCTAGGAATAAACAATGCTCTGCATCATGGTTAGCTTTAGTTTTTCCCTTTAAGCTGACTGTTGGAAGCACTTCACCACTATGTTCTTTTTTTTCTCACTTTTTTATTTAGGAATATTTCAAACACATCGAAGAGTTGACAGTATTGCATAATGAACATCTAGATTCCACCCACCTAGATTTAACAATTTGCAACATTTTGCACAACAATTTTTAACATCAGCTTTCTTTATGCTCTCACCCATCCTCTCATGTGTGATTGTGTTTGTCGACACCCGCTTTTTTCCTCCTAGACCATTGGAAAATAAGTTCAGGCATCAAGACGCTTCACCTTAAAATGCTTCAGTATGAATTTCCTAAGAATAAGAACTTTCTCCTACAAAACTTTAATACCCCAAGTGAGAAAAAATATTTTTTATATAGTAGTGTATATATGTCGATCCCATTCTCCCAATTCTTCACACACACCCCTTTCCCCCTTGGTGTCCGTATGTTCGTTCTCTATGTCTGTGTCGCTATTTCTGCTTTGCTAATAGGTTCATCTGTACTATTTTTCTAGATTCCACATATGAGCGTTAATATACGTTATTCGTTTTTCTCTTCCTGACTTACTTCACTCTGTATGACAGTCTCTAGGTCCATCCACGTCTCTGCAAATGATGGAGCCTCAGTTCTTACAAAGGGGTTTCCCTGGAGACTCCTGACAAGTACCATCAATTCTGTCTAATATGAACGACAATCCTTTCTAGTACCAAACATATTCCTAACAATACAGTATTGACACTGTCTCTACCCAGCACAATGTGTATCATATTGAAAAGTACCCCTCCTGATATTAGAAGTAATTGGCAGCCCCTATAACCCAGAGCCTGCTGAAATTATTCACACTTGCGATCCTAAAGGTGTTTAGCCTGCCTGCTGACCCTGCCTCGCCCATTCCTTCCCCCAGGAACCACAATAAAAACTCTTGCCCATATTATACCCTTGTTCTGTCTGCCTCCTGGCTAACCCTCCTGCTTCCCATGTGGCCCTGCATGGTGAGGCACGTCCCCTCCTCTGGGAATTGTGAGAAACCGTCTTTTCAATGGCAATTGTTTTCTGATCTGTTGGCCTCACCATACCTGAATAATAGTTAAACCTACATTTGAAAACAATTATGCAGTTTACAGTTAAGGGAAGGTATGGTAACATCTCAAATGAATGTTAAACGTAGAAGTTGCAGATCTGTGTAGGTGAATCAAGGGAGAATTGCAATGGCCTGTCCAGTACTAGATTAAATTAAGTTAAATTCCTCCCAAGACTAAATGGTAAAATGAGATTCAAAGTCAATGACTATAATACATGCCGATTTATCAGGTAAAGAGATCATTTAAAAGAGAAAAAGCAGAACTAATCACTTGATTTCCTTACTTGTAAAAGGGCAATTTAACTACTTCCCCAGCAGTCTTCAGATTTTCCTTATTTTAAGAGCAGTATAGGGACTTCCCTGGTGGTGCAGTGGTTAAGAATCTGCCTGCCAATGCAGGGGACACAGGTTCGAGCCCTGGTCCGGGAAGATCCTACATGCCGCAGGGCAACTAAGCCCATGTGTCACAACTAGTGAGCTTGCGCTGTAGAGCCTATAAGCCAAAACTACTGAGCCTGTGTGTCACAACTACTGAAGCCCGCGTGCCTAGAGCCCGTGCTCCACTACAAGAGAAGCCACTGCAGTGAGAAGTCCACGCACGGCAAGGAAGAGTAGCCCTGGCTTACCGCAGCTAGAGAAAGACTGCGTGCAGCAGCAAATACCCAGAGCAGCCAAAAATAATTAATTAAAAAAAAAAAAAAAGAGCAGTACAGAGCATGGCATCTATTTCCATCCAGATATGTGTGTCACTTACAGATTCAACATAATCTGTTTCAAAATCTCAGCTGCCCCCCCGAAATTGACAAACTAAAATTTATACGGAAATGAAAGGGACTCAGAATAGCCAAAGCTATCTTAAAAAGAAAGAAGTAGGAGGACTTGCACTTCCTGATCTCAAAACTTGCTACAAAGCTACAGTAATCAAATAGTGTGGTACTGGCATAAAAATATACATATTGGTCAATGAAAAAGAATTGAGAATCTAAAAATAAACCCTCACATTGATGATCAACTGATTTTCAAAAAGGGTGCCAAGATAATTCAATGGGGGAAAGAATAATCTTTTCAATGAATGGTGCTACAACACTGGATAACCTCATGCTAAAGAATAAAGTTGGACCCTTTGCTTACATCATACACAAAAATTAACTCCAAATGGATTATATACCTAAAAATAGAGCTAAAACTATAAAACTTTTAGAAGAAGGAGTCTAAGAAACATAGGAGTAGGTCTTCATAACATTGCATTAGGCAAAGTCTTCTTAGGTGTCCATCAAAAAAGTGAAAAGACAAATCCACAGAAAGGGAGAAAATATTTTCAAATCATGTAGCTGTTAAGCAACTTATATCCAAAATATACAAAGTATCTTATAACTCAATGACAAAAAGGCAAATAACAATTTAAAAATAGGCAAAGAACATAGAAACGAAACTGAGTTATTTGTAGTGAGGTGGATGGACCTAGAGTCTGTCATACAGAGTGAAGTAAGTCAGAAAGAGAAAAACAAATATCATATGCTAACGCATATATATGGAATCTAGCAAAATGGTACTGATTAACCTAGTGGTGGGGCAGGAATAAAGATGCAGACGTTGAGAAAGGACTTGAGGACACGGGGAAGGGGAAGGGGTGGCTGGGATGCAGTGAGAGAGTGGCATGGACATATATACACTACCAGATGTAAAATAGATAGCTAGTGGGAAGCAGCCACATAGAACAGGGAAATCAGCTCTGTGCTTTGTGACCACCTAGAGGGGTGGGTTAGGGAGGGTGGGAGGGAGACGCAAGAGGGAGGGGATATGGGGATATATGTATGCATATAGCTGATTCACTTTGTTGTATAGCAGAAACTAACACAACATTGTAAAGCAATTATACTACAATAAAGATGTATAAAAAATAAAATAAAATAAAAATAGGCAAAGGATATGAACAGATATTTCTCTGAAGATATACAAATGGCCAATAAGCATTTGAAAAGATGCTCAGTTTCATTTGTCGTTAGAGAAATACAAATCAAAAGCACAATGAGATACCAATTCACACCCAGTAGGATGGCTATAGTAAAAGGGACAATAACAAATGCTGGTGAGCAGTTAGTGTAATTGGAAACCTCATGCACTGCTGGTGAGAATGTAAAATGGTGCACTTTGTGAAAAGTCTGTCAGTTCCTGAAACAGAGTTATCCTATGGACAGAAATTCCACTCCTAGATATACAAGAGGGATGAAAACATATGTCCACACAAAAACTTGTACATGAATGTTCACAGCAGTATTATTCATAGTAGCCAAAAAAATAGCAACAACTTAAATGTCCATCAACTGATAAATGGGTACATCAAATGTGGTACAACCATATAATGGAATATTTACTCAGTCATAAAAAGGAAGGAAGTATTGATACATACTACAAATGGATGAATCTTAAAGACATTATTATAAGTGAAAGAAGCCAGTCACAGAAGGCCACATGTTGTATGATTCCATTTATATGAAATGTCAAAAAGAGGCAAATCCATAGGGACAGAAAGTAGATTAGTGGCAGCTGAGGGATGGTGCGGGGTGGGGGGTTGGTGGGAAATAGGAAGTGACTGCTCACGGGTACAGAGTTGTTTTGGGGATGATGAAAATGTTCAAAAATTGATTGTGGGTGATGGTTGCACAACTCTGCAATGATTCTAAAAAACAATGAATTGTACACTTAGTGAATTGTATGTTATAGGAATTGTGTCACAATAAAGCTATTTTAAAAGTGTGTAACTGACTTAACTTAGATGCATGAATGGTGTATTCACAGCAAGGTGCACCATTTCCATTGCATGATGGAAGGAATGTTTCAAATTCAAGGTAGCCTTTAGGCTTCCATATTATTTTGCGTTATGTTTTATGACATAATAGATTATTACATGTAACATACTGTTTTACTTTACTATCCTGTAGTTGAGAAAATAAAAATTATAGTTGCTTGAAAAAAGTTATTTCCAGTAGCCATTTAGTTTTTTCCAGAGAAATTGAACCTCATAGAGCTTAGAGTCTACCTAGTCCAAATCCATCAGAACGA